TAAAATGATAAAATTTATTATTTTCCATATTATGAATTTATCAATCAATATGCAAGAGGTTTTTTCATTGCAAACCTCATATGGAAAACTGCAGCTTCCCCACCTAGTAGTGATTCTAGGAATTATGAGTTTACCTTTTTCTAATGAGCCCAGAGTTACACTGTTAGTGTATGCTAACACTAAACCTGATCCTAGCCCTAAACATAAACCTCAACTTGTCATTATCACTAATCATAGTGCTCTATGCCAATTATTTCATTTACATGAACCTAAAAATGATTCCCTTTGAATTTGCAGTGGTGCCCTAAAATATTGCATATATAAATAATAAGTGTTAGGGGGATTGGGCTTAGGGTGATTTATTTGCACGACTCTAAAAGTAGGATCGAGTGTTCAGGCAGTGTTTTAAATGATAATAACTACCATAAGCACTTAGGCCATTCCAATAATAAAATACTGTAAAATATACACAAATTCAGATTTTTCTACCAGTCTTAAACTTATTCTCTCATATAAATAGAAAAATTAATACATGCAGACAGATCTCACCTGTTAGCAGACATGTTACTCATTACTACAGCATAAAAATTACTACAAGTTTGTGCTGTTATATGCCATTAGTGTTATATGCTATTATACACTAAATGAACATCAAACTTGTGCATGCATTCATGAGATTTTCAGAAAATGAAATCTGAAAATGCTGCCACAAAACATGTGCAGGTGTTTACATGACATAAACTGTTCCAGACTAGTACCTTATATTGACATGTACACAAATGTAACATAGTGTAAAGACAAACTAACAGTCAATGGCATCTCGTGAGATGCAAGAATCACGTGCTAATGATGTTGAAATATGTAAACAAATCTTCTTTGAAATGCACATTCGTACACATATTATTTAAAATAATAATGTGTGACTGTGTGAGTGTACAATGCCTTACTTTATATACTTGGTGTTACACAAAGAGTACCGGTAAGTATCAGAATGGTTGAGAAAATATGTGAAATCTGTGGTTTAATGATTAAGCTACTCTCTATCATGTATTAATTCCACACAAATGCTACATAAATGCTCCTCTACACCACAGTCTTGCTTCGCACTTCACCTCCATCTTGGAATGTGGGCATAGATGAGTATTCACTTGTGCAAATTATCATCCTTACATTTGAGTAGAATTAAATTAACCAAGATTATCCTCTAAAATCCGGCAGAAAACTCGCTCAGTGCAGTTATAAATGGAAGCAACTGCCTGCTTACACACGAGCAATAGCACCACATTGCATGCTGCCCTTGTACCATTGTACCATTTCTACCATTGTAGCTCGTCGCAGAACACGTTTTGCTGGTCACTGTTTTCGTGCCAAAAACCAAATCATATCTGATGTGATCTGCTTGAGACTGCCTTGCCCAACCAGAGAAAGACGGCCACTGAACAACATTGACTGCATTGCAAGAGATATCCAGCATGACATAGCGGACATGCAGACACTTATGATGGACAAATATTCATGGCATGGCATTGTGAACTCTATCTCGGATGCATCCGCTGAGTAGTAGTAGTAGTAGTAGTAGCATGCTGCCCCCTGCTCCCGAGCTCAAAGACAAGGCCTGCCACTAAGCCAGGCCAGGATGATTTGGACAAGAATGATGCATTGTTAGAATCTCAACTACGTTCATTGGCCATACCCTAGTAGTAGTAGCACCAGGGTGCGAAATTAACGGGAGTCCGGAGTCAAATACGCCCAGATTTACTGTGGGACTCCCTGATTTGACGTATGCAGGAGTCTGTGTGACTCCCTAAAAATTCTGCTATGTACTACCTAGTTCATTCGAGAACACGGCCTCGTGGAAATACAGGGTTTCTTCTACATGTATAGGAGGCACTGCGGCGCACCGCCGTTGTCAAATTTAACAACGCCGTTGTGAAAATGTTCCTGTATTTACCCGCCGTTGTCAAAATAGTGGCAATCCAAAAATAAACAGATCACAACGTGCTTCTGACTATATACATGGAAAATCGTAATGAAATTCACAGCAACGTTTCTTTTTGCGTGCCGGCACACTCCTGTGTAATTCCAGATTGCAGCTTTCTCCTCGATTCCGGGGAGTTTTGCTGTCGCTCCCTCATACCAGTGGTGCCCACCCCTACATATACAGCAATAAGCATGCCCATGCGACTGTAACAATTAGTGCATTCGCCCCCCACCCGTACTTCAATCAATGCCACCCCAGCCAGCAAGCACGAGCCACGATGTGCACAGCCATTGACGTGGGTGACAGCTTAACAGGGGTGTAGCGGGCTACTTTTTTCCTTTTTTTTTCCTTTTGCGTGAATGTGTAAGAATGGGTCCAGATGCGTGGGTATCCCGCGAAATGCGCAGCGTAAGACTTGGTAGGTCAGTAGTAAGATTTACAGTATTCAACATCAGGCCCCTCCCTACATTGCGCAAACCGGGTGCGCCCGCCCGTTTGGGAAAACTCCCCCCCCCCGTTTCAATCGTTGCGCCACGTTTAAATTACCTCCGCCCCGATTAAATTCCACCACAATAAAAGTTTGACAGCGCGGGAATCGATCGCTTATTAATGCCGCCATTTTGCAAGCAGTAACCAAAGCACACTTGTGTGCTTCGCTGTGATTGGCTGGTCACCATCACTGCTAAGCCAATCAGGAGAGAGCTCTTTTGAACAGTTCACACATGCGCATAGTCAAAAACTACATGAGGAACAGGCTGAGTGAGTCAGCTTTGGACTGCAGACTGGCACTGCTGCTACTGGCAATTGAGGGGCCACCTCGGCAAGAATTCCTATTCGACCAGGCCCCCGGACCCCCCTAGTGTCCCGTCCCCCTCTCCC